CTCAAGAAGTCAAGTTTAAAGATAAAGGAAGCTGAATAACAACAAAGACAAAGATATCTGCGCTGCAATGCTGATTCAACACGATTGAACACCCAGGGGAGATTGTTGGGAATATTTTATGGTGTCCAATCTAATTAAATATCTTTGTATTTGTGTAGTTATTAATTAAACGTGTAATATGGGCCAAAAATGTGTATCAGCCCGGGGACTTCCTTGTAACTCGTAAGTTAGCTAACTTCTCCTATAAAAGGAGGCTAACTTACGGGAACCCTAACAATCGAAAAGAGGCTTAGAGTGCGTAGAGGCGAGATAGAGAGAAGGGTTTCCGCTGCTCTCCTTCTCAAGGGAGAGCAGCGGGGTTTGATACGGTATACCAGATTCGTGTATAATATCGACATCCTTCCATCTGCTTCTTCGTTATCACTATTATGATTGTTGTTTGTTAAGTACTGGGTTTATCAGCCGGCCCATTAGCTTCTCGGACAACATGCCCAAAAACAAAATTCATGTCCGAAGCCTTCCTTCTAAATGTCTGAAGCGCAGCTGAGTTTCCAGAATCATCGTTCAGCCTGGATAGCAACCGGATAGCATCCGTTTCCACCTGAACATCAACAAGGCCTGCAGCCATGGCCATCTCCGAAGCTTGGACCAGTGCTTTCAACTCTGCCTCTTCACTATCCCATGCTTGAATCTGGAAAGCCATGGCGTATATCATTTCACCAGATCCATTACGCAGAATAGCTCCTCCTTGAGCCGAACCAGGTAAAAAAGCTGCATCAGCGTTTATTTTGTATTATTTTTTAGGAAGATTCCACTTAATAACCTTAACTCCTGAGGAAGCAAACCTTAACAATCTCATGTAGCACAGGGGGATGGAGTGCCAGTGGAACGTATGGAGGCGCATGCTCATTTATCTTTTTATCTTTTATCTTTCTTATATTCTTATGTTATATTTATTTTATATTTATTTATCTTTATTTTATTCGTTTTATCTTACTGTTTTTCCTCTCTTTCGTGTTCGTTTTCTATGTTTTACATCGATATCATAGATCGATTCATATTAGCTGATCCCAAATTATTTTGAAATTAAGGCTTGGATGTTGTTTTTACAAATAATTGAATAAAATCGAGTGCATCAGTACTATTAATAATAGAGTTTTTTGCTCTAAGTGGGACTTAATTAATTCGTAAACTCCATCATAGGATTAGTGTTTAATATTTCCCTATTTAGGACTCTCTTAGTCCTATTATTATTTCGTCTGTTTGTCAAATGTCTATTATAGCCTTGTTTGATAAATGTTTAATGATCGTTTCCACCGTCATTCGGTTAACTAACTTCTCCCTTTCCATTTTTTCCGCTATCGTTTTAGGAAGCTATTTCTAAACTTGCCTTCATTCTCTCTTCTCCTTTGCACGATTAGTTCTGTTTTTTTCTTCTTCTTCACCGTTCATCGTTGTTCATCGACCTTGAAAGCACACAATCCGAAGTTAGTTCAATTGGACCTCAAATTTCCAGGTACGTAATTCAATCGTTTATTTTTTAAGATTTAAGCTTAATTCAATCGTTAATTTGTAATTGTTCATGTATTACGCTTCGTTTTTGTTATTTCTTTTTCGATGTAATCAACAACTGATTTGTAGTCTTTTTTATTTGCATTTGATAATTTCTTCTGCGTTTTTTATTTGTGATTCATTGATGTTCTGTTGTTTTGTCTTTGCCATTGTTTTCATGTGTGTTTATTTTATGAATTGTAATGTCCACTGAATGAGGTTTTATGTTTGTTTAGGTTTAGTTATTGCCATATTTTTATTGCCTTTTTTATCCTTGTCATTTTTATATATTGACTGCCATGTTTTCTCTGTTTTGTGCTTACTTTTTTCTCCTTTTGTGTATATGTATTTTCAGTTTAATGGATGCTGTTGTATTTGTTATGCTGAAGTTGGATGGTAGCTGGTCTTCTGACTTTACGCTTAATCATACCGATACGTATGCTATTCATGTCCGCTCTTTGCAACATATGATTCATTTATTGCAATGTTTACGGAGATGCTTCTTCAGTATAGACCCCATCATAAATTCATACTCTCCTATTTTGTTGAAGGTTCCCCTCATCCTGTTAAAATTAATGATGAGTCCAGTTTCAGATTTTACCTTGACCTTAAGTTGATAGAACCCGATCTTTACAAGTTTCCTTTATGTGTGGAGTTTTATTCCACAAATACTCTTACCATTCATTCTGAGGAGCACCGTAATCCATGCTATCAGTCATATATTTCTTCTGGTCAGTCTTCTTCCAACATTATTTGTCAAGGAACTACTAGTGGTAAACACAGTGACTTTGATTTTAGTGATGGTGTTCCTTCTGAATCTTTGTCATCACATAGTGATTTAATAACTTCTGTGGTCAATGGGAGCACCTCACATTCAGAAGAAAGTGATACGTTTTCAGATGAATCTCTACCACCATCTCCTAAATCAGATTATAGTTTCCACAATCTGGAAGTTCTCACACATCATCATCCAACTTGCATTGCTCTACATGTTATATATAAGAATAAGCATGAGCTGATATATCATTTGAAGATGTTTGCCATCAGTAACAACTTTCAATACAGAACCAAGACTAAAAAAAAACACTTTGCATGTTATTTGTTTAGATCCGGATTGTGATTGGGCTCTTCGTGCTGTCAAATTGAATGGTGTTCAGATGTTTCAGATCCGCATGTGACTTCACATATTTTCTTTTCTTTTATATTTTTGCTTGTTCTTTTTCTTTTTAATTTTACATGTGCAATATTTGATTTTGTGCTTACACTTTTTCTATTATTATAGTTTTCTTTGCTTTGCATTAATATTCAATATTTCAGAATGTATAATATACAAATTAGTGTTTTAAATCTTTTCAGATATGTATTCAGTTTCCTTGTTCTTTGAGATTCCATTATCATGGCATTTTGTGTTTACGTTCTTGTTTTTGAATGCCATATCTACCTCTTAGCTTTTATGAACTGTATAGTTTTTACTCTCCAGGTATGATCCAAAACATGTTTGCTCTCTTGATTATAGACAGGGCAAACATAGGCAAGCAACATATGATGTCATTGCAAATATGGTTGCACATAAATTTTTGGATGCTTCTATAAACCCGTACACACCTAAACAACTCATGGCTGAGATGAGCATGGATTATGGTATTTCAATGTCATATAAGAAGTCATGGAAAGCTCGGAAGAAAGCAATGGAAATGCAATTTGGTTATGATTCTGAGTCTTACCAGTTGTTGCCTTCAATTGCTTACATGCTAAATAAGACAAATCCAAGATCTGGTTTTATCCTTATTACAAGTGCTGATGATGCTTTTCAATATTTTTTCATGTCACTTGCTCCTTGGAGAGATGCGTGGCAGTATTGTAGACACGTGCTCATTTTGGATGGGTCATTCATGAAATCATATTACAAAGGCACCTTGTTGACAGCTTGTGCTCAGGATGCAAATAATCAAATTATTCCTATAGCTTTTTGTATATGTGAGTCTGAAAGTAAAGCAACGTGGTGATGGTTCTTATCCAAGGTTGGTTCATGTATTCAATATCGTTCTAACTTGTATATCATATCTGATAGACATAAAGGGATTCTTAGTGTTGTTCGTAAAATATTTCCACATGCTGGTCATGGCTTTTGTGTTGAACACTTATGCCGCAATATGACATCGAACTTCAGATGCTCTACAAAAGATTTGGGTTGGAGATTTAAAGCTGCATATTCGGCTTCAACTATGAAAGAGTATGAGTATTACATGTCACTGTTAGATACTCAAGATGCCAGAATACGCCCATGGTTAGAAAAAGTTGGTATTCAAAATGGGCGTATTCTATGTTGTGTGTCCAACATTTTCTGTGTGTGTCCAGGTTGTGGCTGCAATAGGTTCATGCCAATTAGATCATTTTGTGTGTGTCCATGTTGTGGCTGCAATAGGTTCATGCCCTGGTCTATCCTGTTACAGTTACATATCCTCTTATTACACAAGAGAACAATTGTTGGCAACTTGGAGTGGTATAATGCACCCAATTGGAGATCCTGAAGATTGGGTCATTCTTTCCGATGTTTCAAGTACTATTTGCAAGCCTCCTACCTGTTTGAAGCGACCACCAGGGCGTCCAAAAAAGTCCAGAATCCCATCAATTGGAGAACATGTCGGTTCCAAACGTCGGAAGTGTTCTCGCTGCAAAGTTTTTGGCCACAATAAGAAGACTTGCCGTAATGCTCTTCCAGTTGATACAAATTGACTTCCTTTGCATAGTTTTTAGTGTCCTCTAGTTTTTATTATCGCCAAAATAAGAAGAGATGTTATTGGAATGTTAGTTTCTATAATAATAAGACTTGATGAACTTATTTTATAGTTTACAAATTCACTTTTACTTTTCATTATATAGAGTTTGTGCAGTTATATTGTTGGCAGAATTAGTTCCTTTAAATGCAGCTGTACTTAATAAGATTGCATTTTATAAGTGGATGAATCATATAATGGGTTATTTGTTGACTTTGTATAATGACTATATTCCTAATAAATGTTGGTTTTTATCATAACATCTGTAATGTGTTATTTTAGTTGAATATAAATAATGGCAATTTGTATTCTGTAGTGCCACTTTTTTGTTCTTGCTTATGTACTTCGTATAATGAGTAAATACCTACAACCTTTTTTTAAATAGACTACATCCTTTGTAACTTTTCTTTTATCTTCTTTTATATTTCGGTTTTTCTGATTTACATTATTTTACACTAACTCCTTACTTTTAATATATCCCAATTAAAAAAATATCTTTTAAAACACTTTTTTTGTTAATATGTATGTTCATGTCTACCAGTTTGTATACTTATATCATTCACCATCATCTCTGTCATTTAAGAATAACCCAAGAATAATGGCATTTCATTTTCATAACATCCACTCATGTGACAATATTTCATAATGCAAAACAAAAATTACCAAACAAACTTAAAACCACAAACCACAGTCATATCATATAAGCAGTATCCATGGCAAAACAAAACCACACATTCCAAGTTCACACAAATTCAGGTGTTTTTGGAACTTATCTTAAAGTAAAACAAACTTATTACATATTAAAACCATGTGTTCAAGACATGATTGGCATTAAAACTCCATTTATCATCAACACTTCACTTCAATCCTTGATAAATTTAGGCAGGTGCATTCCTTTTGCTTCTTTCAATCTCCTTTCACTGTATAAAACCAGCTCTGTTTCCATTTTTTTCCCTATACATAGGCATTAGTTCTGGATCGATGCACTCAAAAGTGACTTCCATTATAAGAAATCCAGCAATCTTTAGGACAAACATTCCACAATCGAACATGTAATCAAATGAAAACATTCATTACATTACCTTTAATTACACCTTTAATAATGTACATATACCTTTTCATTTAAAATTCACCATTAGCTTTGTTGACAACTTGTTATTTACTTACGCATTATCTTGTTGTGGGCAGTTCTCTTCAACTTCAATTTCTAGTGGCCTCTCTCCCATTGGCTCCTCCCCCTTAACTTCATACACTTGAGGCAGTCCATGATTTTGGGAAGCAAAAACTTGATGCAAGGTATGAACGTTCTGATCTCTTTCAATGAATCCACCCTTCTGGAACTGGAGTTGTAGACTTTCACCTTTTCTCTTCTTGATGTCCAAAACTAGTAACACCCAATGTTTACCAACATTTAATTGGATGTACACAAATTCAGCATCTGTCCAATGCATTGAAAATGTTCACTAGTGTAAAATATGTATTCCATAACTAGGTTTTAATATGGGTTCAATTAAAACCGTTATAATATGTAGGCGCGAGGTCATATTTAAAAATAATGAAAGTTTGAGTAAGTTGAGCGGGTATCTTTCATAAATAAAAAAACATTATTCATATAGGGCTTTAAAGAACCGAAATGAAATCTTGAATGAAGGTGAAGTTTTAGCTTTTTTGTTCCCATATACTTGTGATTTTATTGTTACCGTACATGTTACTTCTTTTACTTCATGATTTTTGTATTTATTCATTTAGTTTCGTTATTTAATTTGTAGGCATTCAACATTCAAGAGTCATTCACTGATCAAGAAATCAACGAGACACGAGAGCGTTGGGCATCATTTTTCTGCGAAACTACGAATATTTGATATAATTTTTAGACTCTTAGCTAGTTTTTGATGAGTCTTGTGAACTCAAAGTTAGTTTTTGATGAGTCTTGTGAACTCAAAGTTAGTTTTTGATGAATGTTGTGAATATTTTTGGATCAAAACAATGTGAATGTGGAATTTTATTAGTTATGAGCAATGATATGTGTCTTCTTTGTTGCGATAAATGTTCCTATGATTATGTGTAAATTTCTGATATTTAGAAATAGCTGTGTGTGAATTAAATGTTAGGAACACATTTCATATGAGTTGATTAATCCCATATTGAAAATCTTTAATAACGGTTAGTGTATAACCGCTATTGAATGTTTTAATAACGGTTCTGTATTAACCCTTATTAAATGTGTCGGACTTTTAACATGTGCCGCAACAATATCGGCCTATAACCGTTATTAAAAGTCCAATGGAACCGTTATTAAAAAAAATTCCATAACGGTTCCCGAACCCATATTAAAAGTATCGGACTTTTAATAGGTGCTGCAACAATAACGGTTCAGAACCGTTATTAAAAGTCCATTATAACCGTTATTAAATCAATATTTTCCACTAGTGTTTAATGTAGTTCCCATTACATCATGCATAATAAGATCATTCTCTGCTGCACTCTGAACAGTTGCTTTGTTCTTTCTTATGTCCTCATGCAGTGTCCTCAACATTGTAATAAAAAATGGCTCAATTGTGCTATATTGTTGTTTGAGTTAGTAATGAACTCTTTTGACTGCCAAATAGTGCATTCCCACGTCCATATGCTGTATTTTATATATAAAGAATTGTATAAACAATTTAGTTTTTTGATAATTATATCCTTGTGTACATACATTAATGGCAATAATAATTGAGATTGTATTAATTTTGTAATGTAGATTTCATGTCACATACCATGTCTTGCAGCCACTGATCTTTGAAGTAAAGATTGTATAGCCATGTCTTGGACTCAATTTTTACCGTGTCCAGCAACATTGGAATTCCATGCATCCTTTCCTCACCCATCCTGCACTTTCTGTTATCATCCACCTTTTTTATTCTTTAGTAGACCAATACTTGAAAAGTCACCAATTCTCTTCATTTCCTTCTCAGGTGGCGCTTCAGTTGGGTCTTCAGAAAATGGCCCATATACGGTTGCTGGTGGTGGTAAAAATGTGCCATGATTCCTTTTCATTGTTCTTTCTTTCTCCTCTTCACTTCAACAATATTTTCTGATGGTGTGTACCTCGTTGGTGATCTTGGACATCTCTTCTCTCTCACCTGTTTACATTGAACATATTTTAATTGTATAATATTAAACCAACCTGATTTTAATGCATTATATTTATTTATTTCTTACCACATTAGCTACAGGAATGCTTTGGTTGCTTTTTTCTGAAGCCTTTCTCTGTAATGCCACGTTTTCAAACTGTGTGTCTTCTGGCATTAGTTTTTCTGAATATGTACTTTGTAATGCCACTTTCTCAACCTCTTCAACATTTTTACACATTTCCTTCACAAATTGACTATCTTCTTGAGAACTCATTCCCCACATATCTGCAGCTTTTCCCTTCTCTGTGTTCATTTCATTTTTTTCTCTTTCCTCTTTGCTTTTCTCTTTTGTTTTTCCTTCAACTTCTAGCTGAGTTTGAAATGAAAATATATCAAAGTTAGGAATATCATCTTCCTTCCCAATAACCTTCTCCTTCTCAACATGATGTCTTCCATTTCTGTCCACTGATGCATTTACTTCTTCAGTAATGATCTTATCTCCTTTCCTATTATCTTCTTCCTCCACAACCCCTTCTGGCTGCTCAACATCATTTGCTGCTCCATTTATGTTGTTTTCTTTATGGTTTTTCTCTTCCATTCATGCTCCACTTAAGTCATCGTCCTCATCATCATCTCCTTTCTTCATTTCATTATCCTCATCAGCATTTCCCTTTTTGTCCTCATTGTCGTCTTCTACAGTTTTTTCTTGTCCTGACATTCCTTCTTCATTCCTATTCATTTGATGCCTTGTCAAATCTCTCACAAAGTGAAGAATCTTGTTTAATACCACCTCTTTCTTAACTTGTCTTTGCTTCATTTCTTTAACATCTGCCATTATTTTGGCAGTTCTTGTTGTTTGCTTGCTGATTTTCTTCATTATAATTTTTGCTTCTTTGGTACATGAACCAGCATTTATCAACCCTCCACTTTCATCCTCGCTTTTATCTCCTTCATAATCCATATCATCCTTGCTCTCTGTTGCTTTTCCACCCTTCCTCTTGCATTTTGAAGTTGCTTCTCCAGCATTTACAGGCCTTCTCTTGGTTTGTTTCATAATTGCCTTCTTTTTGGCAAACTGTTGTGCTTGTTTTCCCTTTGCTTTCATCTTTTGGCCTCTTTACCTTGTACGTGAGACAATACTTGTATTTTGTTGACTTTCATCCTCCATGTCATCTGCTTCAAAATCACTATCATTGTCACTTTGTTTTTGCTTTACACCTTTTTTTCTTTTGAACTGCCTTCGCCAGCATTTTCCTTAAATGTCCTTCTCTTCACTGCAATTTGTTTTCCCTTTGCACCCTTGGTGTTTTTTGTTCTTTTTTCTACATGTGAAGCTCAATTTCCTTCTTTTCGTTTCTCATTTTCTTCAACTTCCACTCTAGCACCATCAATATTGAATCATTCAATCAAATAAAGCTCATGGTCAACTGGAACAATACATGTCCATTCAAACTGACACAACACACCATATTAGTATAATGTTATTTCTCATATTTAATCACATAATATATAAACTCTATAATATATTATTAATATTTCATATACCTTGTCATTATAAAAGATTAGGTCACACAAAACTTCTAGTCGAGGCTTCTTATGAAATTCTCACTTTAGTTATTACGGACATAATATATTTCATAACATAAATTATGCCTATCCATTATTGGCAAATCATTTATTCTTGGAATGTATTTTATTTCTTTCCTTTCCTAGTTTATTAGCTGGTTTAGTTTATTAGCTGGTTTAGCAACATATGCTACACCTATATATGTAGTCTTTGTATTCATTTTCAGATATACGAATTACAAAGATACATTATATTACTCCCTCCGTCCCATAAAATAAGTCTCATTTTCCTTTTTGGCCGTCCCAAAAAATTGTTCCCATTTCCCTTTTTGGAAAGTTTTGTGTGGCTAACATTCATTTAACTTTTTCTTACTCAACCACAACCATACATTTCCACTTTATTCCAACTTTCTTAAACTTCGATCCAAATTGAAATGAGACTTATTTTATGGGACGGATGGATGGAGTATAATATACTTTGAATCTAGCCATTCCTACATGGTATCAGAGCCTCCGGGCAGTTGACTGTAGGCGGCAGACTTAGCCATGGCAGTAGACAACGGCGTGGCTAATGCGACATGGAAGATAGACCACACACCACCATTTTTCTTGGGCCTGCAGGACCGGCCAGGAGACTTCATCACACCAGTGAGGTTGACCGGTGAGAACTACGATGAGTGGTCCAAATCAATCCGTCTAGCACTCCGGGTAAGGCGGAAATTTGTATTTCTGGACGGAAGCATTCTTGAACCGAAACCTCCCTGCACCAGCGATGATTGGACAACAATACATTCGATGCTAATTTCATGGATTCTGAACACAGTGTCTGCTGATTTAAAATGCACTCTGTCCAGCTATGAAAACGCCTATCAACTGTGGACAGATCTCAAAGAACGATTTTCATTGGTGGACGGCCCACGCGTACACCAGGTCAAAACAGACCTGGCTCGCTGTGAGCAATCAAAGGGGACGACTGTGGGGGTGTACTATGGAAAATTGAAAACCCTTTGGGATGAATTGAATAATTTCGAACCTCCTATTACCTGTAAATGCGACAAATGCACCTGTGACTTGAACGGGCAGCTGGAGAAGCGGCGAGAATTTAAGCACCTCCACCAATTTCTGATGGGCATGTACGTTGAACACTTTGGACCCGTCCGTTCCCAGCTGTTGACACAGACTCCTCTTCCATCCCTGAACCGCGCATATCAGCAAATTTCTCAGGAAGAGAGAGTTTGAGGAATGGGGCAGAATCGCGAGGATAAAATGGATCTGGTATGTTTTACTGTCCGTGCCGATGGGCGTGGCAAAGCAAGGAATGGGAAATCGAACAAGGCTGGACTTGTTTGTGGCTATTGCAAAAATACAGGTCACGACATCTCCAATTGCTTCGGAATTGTAGGGTACCCAGAGTGGTGGGGTGACCGACCTCGACTGGAGATTAAGGGAAGCGGACGAGGACGAGGAATTGCTGGTGCTGGTGCTGGACACGGCGGGCATGGCGGACACAGCGGTCGTGGTCATGGAGGAATTCGCGCACACGCAGCTGCGGTAGATGGGGGGTCTTCCTCGTCTTCTGTTCGCATGGAGGATGCGGATGAAGGGTCTGGATTAATTGAACGGGCTGATGTCCAAAGTCTTCTGGGTTTTTCTTCTGATCAGTGGAAAGCCCTTATGGCAGCGTTTGGTATACCGACTGATGACCGAATGTCTGGTAAGTCTGGTAATCACATCACGTAACAGGAAACTTAGCCTTTTTATGTGATATAAAAGAAATTGACGCCTGTTCGGTGGGGCTCCCAGATGGCAAAAAGTTCTAGCAACGAAAGAAGGATCCGTACAATTAATGGAAACGATATGTTTGACTAACATGCTATTTGTCCCTAAATTAAATTGCAGTCTTATTTCTGTATCTCAACTTACTGAGGATGTTGACTGTTTTGTTCAATTTAGTTCTAACATTTGTGCTATGTAAGTACCGACACTCGAGGAGGCTGTTTGGAGCGTGTAAGCGGAGGAATGGACTTTATTACTTTGAAGATCTCTCTCGGATCCATGTTGTCGGAGTGAGCAAGAAGAATGAGAGTGTGAATACCTGGCATCAACGGTTGGGACATCCATTGATGAAATGGCTGGATCCTGTGAGTGGCATTCAAAGTAGTATTTCTAATCCTTGTGAAATTTGTTTAAGAGCAAAACATGCAAGAGATACGTTTCCTACTAGTGTAGGCAAGACTACACGTATTTTTGAATTAGTACATTGTGATGTATGGGGACCATATAATACGGCTTCTTCTTGCGGAGCCAGAAGATTTTTGACTATCGTTGATGATTTTTTCTCGGACTGTCTGGGTTTACCTTTTAGTTGATAAGACTGAGGTATTTTCTATGTTTATGAACTTCTGTGCAATGGTGGACCGCCAATTTTGTCAACGCATTAAGGTGGTGCGTAGTGATAACGGGACTGAATTTAATTGTCTCAAAGATTTTTCCGCACATCTGGTATTATCTTCCATACTTCTTGTGTGGCTACATCTCAACAAAATGGACGGGTTGAACGAAAACACCGCCACATTCTAAACGTTGCTCGTGCTCTCCGATTTCAGGCTCATCTCCCGATTCACTTTTGGGGGGATGTGTTTTAACAGCATCTCATCTTATTAATCTCACTCCATCCGATGTCCTTCAGCACAAAACCCCATTTGAGATTTTGTTTCAAAAATCTCCTGATTATCAAGCTCTTCAGGTGTTTGGGTGTCTGTGCTTAGCCCATAATCTTCGCTCTAGCAAGGACAAATTTATGAGCCGCAGTCGGAAATGTGTCTTTGTGGGTTATTCTTTCGAAAAAAAGGCTGGCAGGTATATGACTTGGAAAATCATGAGTACTTTACTTCTCGTGATGTTAAATTTTTTGAGGATCAATTTCCTTTTGCCACACCATTAGCTGACGTCCTGGAGGAGTCGTCACCTATGCCTATTATAGATACCAGGGAGTATCCGTCCCATACTTCTCCACCTACTTTATCTTCGGAGGTTGTGCTCCCATCTACGTCTGCACACGAAGGGTCAGATGTCAGTCCTTCTTTGGAATCTATGCAACCTGATCTTGGTCGTGGTAAACGTCTCAAAACGCCTTCAGTTCGTCTCAAAGATTACGAGACACATACAATACTCCATGAAAGTCCATTCCCCGCTCCGCCTACCTCCTCTCACTCCTCAGGTACCCCGTTTCCTATAGCTCATTATGTTAGTTGTAATAAATTTTCTCCTCGTTATCAACCATTCTTGTCAGCTCTTTCAGTCCAGACAGAACCGACTTCTTATCAAGAAGCGGTTAAAGATGCAGGATGGCGAGTAGCTATGCGAGCAGAGATTCGCGCCATAGAAGAAAATCATACATGGACCATGCAGCCCCTTCCCTCCGGCAAACGGGCTTTGGGTTGTCGTTGGGTGTATAAAATTAAATATCATGCTGATGGCAGTATTGAACGACTTAAGGCTCGATTAGTTATTTTTGGCAATCGCCAAGTAGAGGGCCTTGACTATAATGAAACATTTGCTCCCATTGCAAAAATGGTCACTATTCGTGCATTCTTGGCTGTTGCGGCATCTAATAATTGGGAACTTCATCAAATGGATTTTCACAACGCCTTTTTGCACAGTGACTTGGATGAAGAGGTATATATGCAAGTACCCCAAGGTTATGACGCGTCTGATCCCTCTCTTGTCTGCCGGCTTCATAAATCTTTGTATGGTTTGAAACAAGCGCCACATTGTTGGTTTGCTAAATTGGTTGGCGCTCTTAAGAGATATGGCTATCTGCAGTCTTATGCAAATTATTTTCTATTTACTCGAACTCAGGGTTCTATTCAATTGAACGTTCTGGTCCATGTGGATGATTTAATCATATCCGGGAACGATCACGAGGCCAATCTTCATTTTAAATCTTATCTCAGTGATTGCTTTCATATGAAGGATCTGGGACCACTCCGCTATTTTCTTGGTATTGAGGTTGCTAGGAACCCCTCGGGCTTATTTCTTACTAGCGCAAATACACCTTGGATATATTATCTGAAACTGGACTTTTGGGTTGTAAACCAGCCATGTTTCCCATTGAACAAAATCATTCACTTGTTACCGCTTCAGATCCCCCTCTTGCCGGTCCTGAACCCTATAGGCATCTTCTTGGACGGCTTATTTATCTTGCGGTGACTCGTCCGGACATGACTTACCGTGTTCATGTTCTTTCTTAGTTCATGCAGGCCCCTGGACAGGCTCACTGGGATGCGGATCTTTGTGTTGTACGCTATTTAAAGGGTTCTCCCGGACAGGGTATTCTTCTGTGTTCTGACAGTGATCTCTCCCTTACAGGGTGGTGTGATTCTGATTGGGCGGCTTGTCCTCTTACCCGTCGTTCTTTGTCTGGTTGGCTGGTTTTTCTTGGCCATTCTCCAGTTTCCTGGAAAACCAAGAAGCAATCCACTGTCTCTCGTTCCTCTGCCAAATCTGAGTATCGGGCTATGGCTACCGCTACATGTGAACTCAAATGGCTCAAAGCTCTACTCCTTAGTCTGGGAGTTAATCATACGAAGGCGATTCCACTTTGTTTTGATAGCCAATCCGCTTTGCATATTGCTCGGAATCCAGTGTTTCATGAACGCACTAAGCATATTGAAGTTGATTGCCATTTTGTTCGAGACGCTATCAAGGAAAACCTTATTGCCCCAAGTTATGTTCCTACCACTGTTCAGCTTGCTCACATTTTCACGAAGGCTCTTGGGAAGACACACTTTCAGTTTCTTCTTCGCAAGTTGGGTATCTTGAACCCTCATGCTCCAACTTGAGGGGGGGGGGGGGGGGGGGTATTACGAACAGAATATATTTCATAACATAAATTATGCCTATCCATTATTGGCAAATCATTTATTCTTGGAATGTATTTTATTTCTTTGCTTTCCTAGTTTATTAGCTGGTTTAGCAACATATGCTACACCTATATATGTAGCCTTTGTATTCATTTTCAGATATACAAATTACACATATACATTATATTATAATATACTTTGAATCTAGCCATTCCTACATTAGTGTCCTTGGGATGATATTTTCTCTCTTCTATCACTTTACACAAACCTCCTTTTGACAGGCTCGGGAATGTTTCAAATGCCCATACTTGTAGTGCAATCATGCAACCTGGGAATGTCACTCTTTCACCTTTGCAGTTTTCTAGTGCTTCACAACTTTGTTCATATCAGTGATCAACTCATTCCACACAACATCACCCCATGGGTAGGCTTTAAAAGCTTCTAAATCATCAACCATATTCAAATAGTGTGACTCCATTGGTTTTGCTGTTTGATTTCCTAAAAATCCATGTGAAAGAATATAGAGAAGTGCCAGCTTGACCCCATCATACCTCATACTTGCTGGATCAGTACTCTTATAACTATTAATTGCCTTTAAAATGTCACTTCTTGTAACTCTGTTCTTGCCTCCCAAATACCGATTCCAGCTATCTCCCATATGCTCTTCTGACACCACTCGTTTCTCCCCACTCAGTTTTAAACCAATGACTATTGCCAAATCCTACTTTGTGAAACTTATTACACTATTTCAGATATGGAATCGCATCAGATTCTTGTCGATCAACCCATTAACATTTTGCACATAGTTTTCTACAAACCCAAGCTGTAGCTATCCACTAACCCAATCCATGCTATCAAAATCTACAAGCCAACCAAAAACACTTGCTTTTAAATCCTCTAACTCCTCTTTACTCAGAATATTCTTTACCCTTTCCATTACTTTGAGCAGATTGCATGTCATCTAATTTTTCCAAAATTGTCCTCTTGAAGTACCTTGTTATTGTCTATTAAAAAAGAAATCAATTAAATTCACTGGTTAAAAATACATTACAGAATGCCATGAATATGTCAGTTTTTATTCTTTTTGTAATTTTGTAAAAGGATACAAAAAAGAAAGAAGAATATCTTCACAATTTTATAAAGAATGCCTTCAATATTCATTTTTTTGTTGATATGTGTATGTGTATATCATTCACCATCATGTCAGTCTTGTGATAAAAAATAAAATAATGGCATTTAATTCTCATAACTTCCACTAAAATATAATTACATCAAAACTAAAAACAAACATTTCCAAAAAAAATGAAAACACAGAATTGTATCATATGATATCAGAAATATCCAATACAAATGCTTATCTCTCTCATTGACAATTCACTAATACATATTGGTTATAGAAAAACTATAATGCCATTTTCAACTAAAGTAGAAATAAGACTAACCAAAATATATAAATGTCTTTAATCCTTTGCTTTGTTCTAAATAAGTTTGTAATTACTTCATTAATCATCTTACTTCCATTACAGATTACTTACATTAATAGAATACATATATCTTTCAAATTTATGCAACAAATTCCATTTCAGTCAACATATTCTCATTTAGAGGCAACACAATAACATATATATGGCATTCACATTCTTCATGAACCACAAATAAACCAACAAATTAGCATTTCATAACAACATCACATGAATTTCTTATTCTCCCATTGACAATTCACTATTACATATTTTGCTTATAGAAAAACTGTCATTACAATTCACGCCATTACAGATTACTTACATTAATAGAATACATATATCTTTCAAATTTATGCAACAAATTCCATTTCAGACAACATATTCTCACTTAGAGGCAACACAATAACATATATATGGCATTCACATTCTTCATGAACCACAAACAAACCAACAAATTAACATTTTATAATAACATCACATGAATTTCTTATTCTCCCATTGACAATTCACTATTACATATTTGCTTATAGAAAATAAATAATTACCTAAATAAGACTAAAATAAAGATGATTTACAAAAATATGACTAATGACTAGAGTAGTAATGAAATCATAGTAATTCATGTTCAAGTTTTGAACTTAAGTTACCACAATACCACATTGTAGTAATGAATAGTCATATTTATTGGTCCAAAATAGGACGCTCATAGGCTTTTAGGAAAGCTACGTACGACATTCAAGCAGGAATTAGGAAATAAAGAGCGAGAATGGAAAGTAGCTAGGAGATTTAGTTGCCAAGAATAGCATATCTGTATTTGAAATTCGAATTGCCTTTTATAGGCGACTACAAATGGTAACTGCCAAACATAATGATGACTAAATTAATTACAACATTAATACGAAATTAAATACATAATTAATAGTGCATTGATTGTTGGTCGTTACTCTTTCTGGATGACTGGCATGTTGGCCTGGCTGGCAGACAAAACGCTTGAGCTCCTCGGGCAGCAGGCTTCCGCTGGGCTGGAAGGCAGGCTCCCCGTTGGGCCGGAGGACAGGCTCCCCACCGGGTAGGAGGACAGGCTCCTCGCTAGGCCGAAAGGCAGGTTTCCGGTTGGGCCAGTAGACACGCTCCCCAGTAGGCTGGAAGGCAGGCTTCCTGTTGGGCTGGAAGGCAGGTTCCTGGCTAGGCTGGAAGGCAGGCCGCTGGCCGGACTGGAAGGTAGGCTTCCTGCTGGGCTGAAAGGCAGGCCGCTGGCCGGGCTGGAAGGCAGGCTCCTGGCCGGGCTGGAAGGCAGGCCGCTGGCCGGACTGGAAGGCAGGCTCCTGGCTGGGCTGGAAGGCAGGCCACTGGCCGGGCTGGAAGGCAGGCTCCTAGCCGGGCTGGAAAACAGGCCACTGGCCGGGCTGGAAGGCGGGCTCATGGCTGTGCTTCCGCTCCCTGATTGGCCTGATCAGTTGGGCCGACTCGAGCTCTGGGTTGTTGGGCTTGGGCCTGCTAGTCCAAGTTCGGGGCCTGGGCCGATTAGGCTCTGGACCTAGTCCCATAACCCCATCACGAGTCCCCCACTCCCTTAGTCGAGTAGTAGACTCGGCTAAGATGGAGTAGTTCAAGTCAGCTGCCAATTAAAAGATATTCACATACCAGGGAGCCATAATTGTGGATTCTGCCAATCCCAAAACTTATGGAGATTTCCAAATTTTGAATAAGGCACCCAGCTCTAAAAGGCTCCAAATTAATTCCCTTAGCATCCTAGCATTCCGGCAGTCAGCTTTCTCCCAAACTTCAGACTCCAGGTCAGCTTCCAAGAATTTCTGAAATTCATTATTATTATTCCAAAAATTATTTTCGGACATTATTTTATTATTCCTTCCTTTTCATTTCTTTCCTTTTCTTTTCTTTCCTTCTTTTTTCTTTCCTTTTCATTTCTTTCCTTTTCTTTTCTTTCCTTCTTTTTTCTTTCCTTTTCTTTTCTTTCCCTTTCTTTTCTTTTCTTTGCTTTCCCTTTCTTTCTTTTTTTTCTTTCCTTTTTTCTTTCCTGGTTTCCCGCGTGCGTCTCCCATGTGTCGCCCCGCCAGCGCCGTAGCAAACCCGCCGAGCGGACTGACCGTTGTCTCTTTTCCAGCGGCTCCACTGGGTCGCCCCCGCTGTGCTAGGCGGCTGTCCTGTGTTGTCCACCGATGGCCGGCGTCGCCCTGGCAGTCCAGCAAATTTGGCCGACGGGTTTGGGCTTGTATGTTTGGCTGGCGCAACTCGTAGGTATTGACGGCCACCCCTACCGGCCGTCGTCACCCAGGAGGCTGGCGATCAGGCGGCCAGGCGCCCCCCAGGCCAGATGGAGTCGTCCCTCCCTCCGGTGTTCAGGTTGTCCGGCGAGCCGCCGCTGCACATCTCTTCTGTCGCCCGGCGTCGCCCAATAAGCTGGCGATCAGCCGACTAGGTGGCCTCCCAAGTCGGATAGCATGTGGACCCCCATGTTCGACCGGCGCAAATTATAGGATCCGACAGCTACCCAGCTGCCTGTCGGCATCGTCAAGGGAGTTGGCTGCCAGGCCGCCCCTCCCCATGTCGGAGGAGTCGTCCGGTGTCGCCCGGCCAGATTGCTGTCGCTGCATGTTTCTTCCGTCTTTAATTTCCATGCGTACCTAGACTGGGCATTCCCTGGTTTTGAAGGCTGAAGTTGGGTAGGCACCTAGCTTTCCCACGATGAGCTCGAAGGTGGTTTGTTGCAGGATGCTGCCCGGCGCCCCACGTGAGCAGTTCCTTCGGTGCTCGGCTTCACCTTGGCTGGATAGTGTTGGTTGGCGACTGAAGGCCGCCCCTCTGCCGGAAGGCGTTGCTGAGGAAGTCGGCAACTACCCACTAGGCTGCTAGGGCGGGTGCTCCCTTTGTTGATGCACTCCATGTTAGTCTGTGGGTTGACTTTTTTGCTATTTCTCTTTTTCTTTTTTTTTTGTCTTTGTAGACTTGATTCAAGGTGAGGGAGCATCTTGGACTGCTCGTTGTTTACAGGGAAAGCTCCTTCACGATTCTGACAAGGCTAAGGTCATGGTCGCAAGCAGCTAGGTGGTCGGGCGGCCGGGCAGCCGGGCGGCTAGGTGGCCGGGCGGCTAGGCGGCTAGGCACATGCAAAGCTTCAGGGCTCCACTACGTGTTCACATGTTCTTGAAAAAATGTGATGAGAAAGAGATAACTCCATTCAACTTGGCGATCATCTGTCTTGAAGAGGATGACCATCTAGCTAGGACAATGCCGCAATGAATTCCGATAGATTTTCTTGAGGTTTCTAGTAACTCCCATGCCTGGATCATTGTACTTGATGGCTATGGGACACCCGGTCATGACTCTTGTCCATCTTTTTGTGTAGCATGAAGTTGATTAATGTAAGATCTGATTGAAATAATTTTGAGTTCATATGTTTCTTTTTCTATACTTTGCATTACGAATACTTAGCAATTTATTCGGGGATCCGGCTTCTCTAACCTCCCGGGGGAGGTTAGGCTGGTGACTGGCGTGGCCGGGCCTTTCCGTGTCCCTCCTGGTTGGATAGAAGTGATATGTTCTCTATTGATATGGAATCAACAATTATGCGACTTGTTCAGCCAGTAAGGTCGGACATTGAACCTACGAGGAGGACCCTTAGGTCGGTATCCTGAACGTTCATGACCCGAGGGTCAGTCCTACTGTCACTTTAACCCATCCAGTTTGCCCGGACTTGGGGGAATAATCTGGTTACTCCCGCAGGGATAGCCAAACAACAGGGACGGACCCTGCATGATCCACCAGAACAGACCCACACCGCCAACTCAGGGATGGCGAGAGTGCGAGATGCTTGGCCAGCAATGTTAGGCGGTGAGCACTCGAATGGACCCGGAGGTCAGCATCCTGAGCACCCTCGACCTGGAGGTCGGCCCTACTGTCACCTCGACTGTCGCGGCTAGCTCTTTACTTTAGAAAATTGCTCGGATTCTCGAAAATCGCTTGGCTATTTTCAGTTCAAGAGCCTAGCCGAGGTCGGCCAAACACCGAGGGGGCATAGTACCCTTTTTTTGCCGCCGCCCTTTATTGCTAAGTGAGGTAGAACCTCTTTTGGAAGACAAAATATTGCAAGCAAAGTATATTGAATTCATGATGTGGGCGGACCACATGAAGAATTACAAATTGTAATCTCGTGCTCGGAGCACAGGAGTTTACAAAGAAAAGTGAAACTTCGATTCTCTACTTGTAAAACTTCATCAGGTGCTCGGCATTCCAGACGCGGTCTACTAGTCGGCCTGTTGTTGTCTTCAATTTGTATGTTCCAGGGCCGATCACAACGTCAACCACGTAAGGGCCTTCCCACTTGATGGAAAGCTTACGTCCCTCTGTCGGCTTGCTGGCCTTCCTACGCCTAAAGACGTAATCACCAACGTCAAAATTCTGAGGCCGGGCTCGGCTGTCCTGGTATGCCTTGACTCGTCGTCGATATTTTTCTACTTTGATGAAGGCACGCTCTCTTCTCTCCTCAATGGGGTGGAGCTCGGCTCGGAGCCTCTCCTCATTGCTGGTTGGTTCAAACTCCTCCACTCGTAAGCTAGGGACTACAACCTCGAACGGTGCCCTCGCCTCAAAGCCATAACACAAGGCGAATGGGGTCTCTCTGGTTGCCTTCCTTGGGGTTGTTCTGAAGGTCCAGAGTATATTGTTCAACTCTTCCACCCAAGCAGTCTCAAGGGCTTCCAACTTCTTTTTCAATCCATCGAAGATCGTTCAGTTGGTGTTCTCCACCTGTCCATTTGCCTGAGGGTAGTAGACCGTAACCCGACTAGATTCCACACCCCACTCCGCGCAGAATTGTCGGAAGGCTTCGCAGTCAAACTGCCTTCCGTTGTCGGAGATTATTTGGAGGGGAACCCCAAACCGGCAAAAATATTCTTCCATATGAACTTCTTACATTGGAGATGTGTGATGCTCGCAAGCGGCTCAGCCTCAACCCACTTCGTAAAGTAGTCCACTGCGACGATGAAAAACTTTCGGTTTCCCGACCCGGTTGGCAAGGGACCGACCAGGTCAACGCCCCATCTTGTGAATGGAAGGGCGATGCTGATCGGTGTGTACATCGTTGCTGGCCGTCCGGGGCTCTTCTGGAACTTCTGACATGTCTCACATTTTCTTGCATAGTTGGCGCAGTCCTTCATTATTGTCGGCCAAAAGTACCTTTGGAGGACGACCTTCCTAGCTATAGTGCATGCTCCCTAGTGTACGGAGCACACTCCCCCATGGAGTTCAAAGACGATCATGTCTGCCTCGTGTGGGCGCAAACACTTAAGTAGGGTCCCATTGTAGGACCTCTTGTATAGCTTCCCGTCTAAGACGATGTAGCCCGGAGCTCGTCACCGGACTAGCCTTGCCTCCTCTTCTTCATCGGGGAGCGTCCTGTCGGCTATGTAGCGCAGGAGGTCATCCACCCAGCACCAAGCGACCGGTTGCAGGGGAAAGACATCGATAGACAGTGAGGCTGCTATGCTCGAGGTCGTCATCTCCTCAATGCGTGCGATTCTCGATATGTGTTCAGACAGCCCCTGAGATAGCTTCGAGAGGAGGTCAACGTCTGAGTTTTGATTCCTCGGAACACAGACCAATTATGCTTGTTTAAACAGCCTGAGCAACTCCCGAACAACATCTTGGTACTTCATCATTCTTTCTTCTTTCGCTTCGAACTCACCTTTGACCTAGGAAACGACCAGTCGGGAGTCACATTTCACCGTTATCCATTCTGCTCCCATGGTGGCTGCTAGTCGTAGCCTGGACAGTAGGGCCTCATACTCCACTTCATTGTTGGAGACTTTGAAAAGATAGCGGTAGGCATAGTAGGCCCGGAATCCCTCAGGTGAGATGAGGACGATTCCGCCCCCACATCCCTTTGCTCCGGTTGACCCGTCAATCGCTAGGGTCCACCACTGCTCGTTCCTCTCCTGTTGCTTTTCCGTCACCTCTCGGGCTGTGCACTCCACGATGAAATCAGCTAGAGCCTGGCCTTTGATGGACGTCCGAGGCTGGAAGTCAACCTCATATTGGTTGAGGAGCATCAACCACTTCACCACCCGGGTTGTACCGGGCGCCCTCACAGCGGCACCCAAAGGTTGGTCTGATAGGATTCGGATCGGGTGTGCCTGGAAGTAGTGTGTCAACTTCTTGGCAGTGATGTAGGCGACATATATTGTCTTCTCGAGCGGGGTGTACCGGAGTTCAGCATTCTGGAGGGTCTTGCTTACATAGTAGACGGGATGCTGAACGCCTTCCTCCTCGCGAACCAGCACGGAACTGATTGCGCCTTGGGAGACTCCGAGATAAAGGATCAGTGTCTCTCCCCTCTCCGGCTTGCTGAGTAAAGGCTTAGAGAGGAGGTACTTCTTCAAGTCCTCAAAGGCTTGCTGACATTCATCATTCCAAATGAAACTGTTCTGTTTTTTAGGACCTGGAAGAAGGGTAGGGACTTCTCGGCGGACTTGGACATGAAGCGTCCGAGGGCTGCTAGCCGACCGGTGAGAATTTGGACTTCTTTCACCGATCTCGAAGGTTCCATGTCAAGTATTGCCCTTACCTTCTCGGGATTTGGCTCAATCCCCCTCCGTGTGACCATTTCCCCCAGGAACTTGCCTCATTGGACGACAAAGGTACATTTCTTCGGGTTCAGGCGTAGACGGACTGCCTTCATTATCCCGAAGATCTCCGCCAGGTCATCTGCATGATCGTATTTCCGGGTGCTCTTGACGATCATGTCGTCAAAATAAGCCTCCACGTTCCTTCCAAGCACCTTACGAAATACCTTGGCCACCATCCTCGTGTATGTCTCCCCAGAATTCTTCAGACCGAAGGCCATGACAAGATAACAAAAAATCCCCTCTGGGGTGACGAACGAGGTCTTCTCTGCATCGTCTTCATGCATGAAAATCTGGTGGTATCCTCGAAAAGCGTCCATAAAGCTAAGGAGCTCACATCCGTCTGTCCCATCGACCAATTGGTTGATGTTAGGCAATGGGAATGGATCCATCGGACATGCCTTGTTGAGATCGGTGTAGTCAACACACATCCTCCAGGTTGGCGGCTTCGGGGCCAGGACCACGTTTTCCGGCCAAACCGGGTATAGGACCTCCTGAATGTGTTTGATACTTAGGAGCATATTGACCTCCTTCTTCACGAATTCCCTCCTCTCGATTGAGAGGTGTCTTCTTTTCTGCCGGACGGGTTTCGCTGTTGGATCGACCGACAGCCGATGGACAACGATGCTTTGGTCGAGGCCGGGTATGTCCTCCGGTCTCCATGCAAATACGACGCTATAAAGGACAAGGACCTAGATGATCTTCTCCCTCAAGCCGACCGGGAGCCAGGTTTCGATCTTGACTCTCCGCTCCAACCTCTTGGGGTCAATTTGGATTTCCTCCACTTCTGAGGTGGGTTCAGCGCGGAGCTGACCCTCCTCATACTTCATGGCTTTGTTGTTGATGGTGTGGACCCTCAAGTATTTCTGACCGATTTTTTTGCAAGCTTTCAGATAGCAGCTCCTCACCATCCGCTGGTCTCCTCGGGCAACTCCAACGCCATTCGGAGTGAGCAACTTCATGCATAGGTGCTCCTGAGATATCACAAATCTGAGGTCCTCGAGGGCCGACCTACCCATGATGATCTTATGCGCACAAGTTAGACGTACAACTATAAACTTGACGTCTAACTTGGACACGCAGGGCTTAGAGCCCACCATCACGGAGAGGACTATGCTACCCTCCGACTCAATGGAGTCCCCAGTGAAGCCCGAGAGTGGGGTTCTCACCGGGATCAAGTCCTTTCGGTCCAAGCCGAGACCCTAGAAGGTGTCATAGTACATGATGTTAACGGATCTCCCATCGTCCACCAGGACTCGGTGGACGATGGTGTCATTGATTTCGGCCTTGATCACCAAGGCATCCCTGTGCGGCGGAGGCATCGGTGGAAAATCTGCGTCGGTGAAGAAGATTGGATCCCTCTTCACCCTTTTGTCGGTGAGAGCCCTGGTTATCTCCCCGACGTACAGGGCGCGGGCCCACTGCTTCCGTTCTCCAGAGGTGTCACCTCCCTGGGGTCCCTCAAATATGAATGAACATCGATGGTATTTCCGGGAGCCGTCCCCTAGGGCGGCATCATTTTCCTCATAGAAGGCGCCGAGCTCTCGCTTCTTGGCAGGCTGTTTCTCCTTTGATGTGGTAGCTTGGTCGGTCCGCTGCCACGTCAGGCTCCTCTTCTGTTGGATGCCTCCATGTTTGCAAACGAATTGGACCAGGTACCCTTTCTGGATGAGTTCCTCAATTTGCCATCGGAGAATGACACAATCATCTGTATCATGCCCTGCTCTCCGATGGAATCGACAACATTGGTCGTGGTTGCGCTTGGCGGTCACCACGTCACACTCCTCCGGAAAGTCAACTAAACCTTGCTCTTCCGCGTAGTCGAGGATGGCCCCGACCGGCTGAGCAAGTGGAGTCAATTGCTTGACGGGCAGGAGCGGTCCGCTCAGGACCATCGGTAGAGATTCGAGATGACCTACAATATGCAGTGGAACCGGTGAAGATAGTGGGCCAGCAGGTAAAGAGGCTTAGGAACAAGGAGATTCCTATGGTGAAGGTGCTTTGGAGGAGTGATCGAGTCGAAGAAGAAACCTGGGAGACTGAGGTCTCAATGAGGGAGCAATACCCGTTTCTTTTTTATTAGACACGGGATTTCGGGGACGAAATCCCAAATAAGGGGGGGTGAACTTGTAACACCGTCCCTAAGTATATTTACTTTTAGTAAATCATGTAATAAACCTTGAATAATGATTCGTGAATTTACGAGGTTGTAAATTTTTGTTATTACGTTCGCGTGAATAGTGAATTGCACGTGGGACCCACATCGGGAGAGGAGACCACCCGATAAACCCGAGACCACATATTATATTCATCTTGGTCTAGATAATATGTATATGGTGGTAGATATTTTAGTTGGGCCATAGGAAGGGCATAGGGTTGACCCGTCGGTCAAATGAGGCTCAATTACCGATATCGGTAATTTATCAGATAACAACCCAGAACGGATTTCGGGGACGTCTAAATTAAAGTTGGGGAATGAATACTCATTCCAAAAGTCCATAATGATGGGAAACACAAAATATATTTTATTTGACCCGATAAAATAAAATATAATTTAAACAGTCCGAAAAATACAACTTTCGGGGCCGATTGCACAGTTCTGGACATCAAGGGATGACCTCCCACATGAGTGGGGGCCACCCCACGTTTTTTGTGCCCAATTAGACTTGATGGGAGCTGGTTGACAAATAAATGGGTGGAGGAGATGCATTTGGCATCAAAGTACCAAAAGGGACCCCTCACCCTCTCTTATTGCTCAATTGAGACAAAAAGGAGGCATCATCTCTCACCCCTACCTCCCTAGCTCGACCAAGACCACAAGAAAAGAGGAAGAAGCTCTCAACCAAGCCTCCATAGCTGGAAAATCCGAGCTCAACAATAGAAGTCCAAGGAGGAGGCTTAAAGAAGGAAAAAGTTAGGGAAAGTGTGAAGGATTAAGGTGATAACCTTATAATAACTTTTCCTTTCCTTTTTATCTATCATATGAATTTTATACCATATGAAGGACCCCTAGTATTATTCTACATGTATAGAAGTGTAGAATGAGGGGTTGGAAGGTGGTTCTAAGTCCAAGAACGGACTTAGAAGCCAAAACGACCGGTTCGCCGGAAAATAACCTTTTAGAGGTTATTTGTATTGATATGAGTTTTGTGATGATAAAACCATGTTAGGAGCTTAACTAAGGTGTTTCTAGAGTTCTCCGGATTTCGCCGGAGATTCCCCAGAGTTCAACCGAAGAGCGTAGAACACGCTATAACTAATTTAAGGTGAGTGGACGGCTTAATATCTTATAACTTTTGGGTTAATTATGAGATTACCTAAATAAATGTTATATGTGTTCATAATTATGTTTAAAAGGTATTTAAACATGTGACTAGCCAACATGGTTAAGTTTGTATGAAAGGAATTAATTGTTTATGCATGAAATATGTTATGAGGAATTATATAAAATGCATGTTTGCTTGAAGCGTAAGAGGAACAAAAATGAACATTATTAACTTAATTATATGATGATTAAGTTGATACGTATAAGGTTTGAAATGGCGGTCAACAAAAACGTTGACCGATGGATAATGGATTAATTGATACCGGATGATATTAGTTAATTATGAATTTATATAAATGCATGACTTTGCATGGATTGTGATACATGAGCTTTATGTATTGATTTAGCTATGAATGAATAAATATGATATAGATCCTATCTAGGTTGATAGGAGGTTGATCATAGGATTATAAATTGGTGGAGGACTCTAGGACTTAAAGTCCTTAACACTCATATTTTGGTGGAGGGCCCTAGGACTTAAAAGTCCTTAACACTCACGATTATTACATTGTTTTTGCCTGCGAGCCTACGTTTTGGCCATGTGTGGCCCACGATTAATTGTTGAATATTTCCGCTATTCAAATAATCTAAACTGTGATGTTGTTGTGTATGTTTACTACTGAGTATGGATATATTATGTTCATGGACGCCTTGTATGATTAAGACACGTTGACTTGCGAGTGACGTCACTTGGTCATACGGCGGTTGTACACGCACCTAGATGCGGTCTGGGGCGTGACAATTAAGTGGTATCAGAGTCATCTCAGTTCTAAACTATGTAATCAACCTCTCATGAGAGATTTTGCAAAAAGGAATTTTTACCGAAAACCATGAGCATTGTATTTTGACGTTCATAGAACTATTGTTACCTAGGTTGCAAGGTCTCTAATTGTTAAGATGGTACCCTTAACAATTGGTATGGCGGTGACTTGGGCCAATACGTGTCTATAACGTTTTTCCGTCAATTGACATTGATAGGAGTCTAACGACTCGTCCAAATCTTATTTCAGAAATGGAGGGTAGGCGAATAGAAACGAGGAACAATCCAAGGGGGCAGGCACCGGTAACATCCATGAGGGGTAGCCGGGCCACCGGGCCCAAACAGTGAGCGACGGCCACATAAGCTCGGTGTTTGAAACTAACACTGAGGACTATGACTCGACTTTTGTTCCCGGCACGGAGCATGAGGAGACCCCGTATGACGGGGGTTACTTCCACACTGACGAGAAAGACAACGATGAGAGTGATGCCCGATTCGCTCAAATGGGTGAATTGCTTGAGTGGTATCAAAAAGAGAAACTAAGGAGAGACCTTAGGCGCCAAGCAAGGCACGGCTCTCGTGGTGGTTCAGTTCAAGGAAGCCGGGGAGCTTCAAGGGCCACTCCAGCGGCGGCACAAGGTGGGCGTGAAGGAGGGTTTTGTGTGAGAATCTCCAAGTACCTCAAGGAGGCTAGGGCCTTGGGGTGTAAATCCTTCGACGGCACCGGTGACATTACCGTTGCCGCCGATTGGATCAAGAAAGTGAAGGATGCATCAAGGGATATGCAGGTCACACCCGACGTGAAGTTGACTGTTGCTTCACGTTTGCTTGAAGGAATCGCTTCTACATGGTGGGAGAGTGTAGAAGGAAAGTACCGGGGGTCCATCACATGGGCGAACTTCGAGCAGGAGTTCTACGCCCAATACTACTCCGATTACGAGGTTAATGTCAAGCGTAGGGAGTACACCAACCTTAAACAGAAGGAGGGTGGTTCTGTCAAGCAATTGGAACAAGATTTTAGAACCTTGGCTAGGTTCTTACCGGAATACGCGGTCGATGAGGACCGCATGTCGGAACACTTTTGGGACGCCTTACTCCTAGACATCCGTGATCGAGCTACGTACTCTCGTCATATGACGTTTAGCGAGGTGGTGGAACAGGGCCTACTTGGGGAGGCTCAGTGGAATGAGAGGAAAGAAAGAGACGCCGAAGAGGCGAAAAAGAGAAAGTGGCATAGTTCGGGGCTGCCCGAGCAATCACGAAAGAATAACCACGGTGTAGGTGTGCCAACTGTTCGAAGAATCACTTCGGGAAGTACCACGCACCCCGAGGTGTTATCAGTGTGGGAACACAGGCCACATGAAGGTTAATTTCCCACAATTGGGGGGGGAGCTCCCGGGTCCGGAGGAGCTTTAACGAGTAGAAACCGTGTAGGGCCGTCAAACGGTGGCACGGGAAGAGGCGGTGCATCAACGAGCCATGCCGCGTCCATTAACCAAGGCGGGGACCAAGCAAGGGTCTACGCGATGACCGAGGCCGATGCTCGGGCCAACCCCGACTCCGTTGCAGGAACACTCTTGATCAATGGAAGAAACGCAAGAATTCTCATTGATACCGGGGCGCAACGTTCTTTTGTGAGCGAAGCGTTTGCCGAAGGTCTTGACGTGCCATTGACGCCGATGACTCGGACCTTGTTAGTCTCCACATCGTTAGGAGATGATGTGGAGAGGGACCACTATTATGAATCGTGTGAGGTAGAAGTGACGGGTCAACCTTTGACTTGTGATTTCGTACCTCTAAGTATGTTGGAGTTTGATGCGATCCTAGGGATGGATTGGCTCAAAAAGCATCATACTAGAGTTGATTGCTACACCAAGGTCTTAGAGCTTAAGGATGATAAGGGAAACACCATACGTTTCGAGGGAGATCGAGGGAGATCTCAAAGTTGTATCATATCCGTCATGAGAGCACGGAAGATGATGAAGAAAGGTTGCCACACGTACCTTGCTTACGTGGTAGGCTTGGAC